GTTATTTTTATTATCATTTTTATTAAACCAATATTCTGATTAGTGCTTTTGCACCAATCAGAAATTTAACTACGTAACAATCTTTTAAATATGTTTACTTCTACTTCAGTCAAACGAATATTCGATCAATCTGAAGTACTTTCCACCGCGATAATAACGATTAAAAAAGATTACAATTATTATCTCGACTTATCAAATTGGCAACTCAACACTGAAGTTGATGAAGATGCATATGTTGAGGCGTTTCCTTTTCTTTCGGATCGTATTAAATTTATACAAGATTTAAAGAATTTTTATGAAGCAAGAAAAACTGTTTTTTCTCATATCGAAAGAATTTTTTCTAAATCGTTCGATGATATTCAAGAATGGCGAACTACCATATTGCAAGGTCCTAAATCTGGTGCAAAAATCGCTCTTGATAAGTTAGAGCGTTATGAGAAAAAATTGAACTGTGGCAGCAACAAAAAAAAGAAAATGAATTAAATTAAATTATTTATCTTATCTTCTTTTAAATTCATCAATTATTTTCATATTTTTATTATTAAATTATTCATCTTATCTTCTTTTAAATTTATTAATTATTTTTTTTTTTATATTTTTATTATTATTAAATAAATATTCTGATTAGTACATCTGTACCGATCAGAAATTTAACTATATAAAAACAAAATGAAGCAAATTCGAAACAATCTTTATTATATAAAATATCCACAACATCAATATAATTTTTCACAACACAAATCTCAATAAAAAACAAACACATCTTAATTCGCAAAAGTTTACGTATCAAAAATCGGATAAATTACTCTGATATGCGTCCGTATATCAGATCATCTTTTGCACCTGTTCTATATTATTGTACATGTTGTAATCATTTTCGAAAGATAAATTTTTGCAAACATTATAAAAAATCTATTGATGATGATGATTTTGATTCCGAATCTAATGAATCCGCAATATTATCTTCAATAACAATAATAACTGAAGAATCTCAAAAATCTCTTAAAAACAAAGGAATTTTTGACAATGTGATTAAAAAATATTCTGCAAAATACAGTATATTACATCTCAATCTGGAACAGTAGAAAATGAAAATATCTTTTGGTCTGACAACGAATTGCAAATGGATGACAGTGACAACAAATTTATTATTTAAATATTTTAATTATTTTTATTTTTATTTTTTTTTGTATATTATTATTTTTTATTCTGTTCAGTATAAATATACCGAACAGAAATTTTTCTGTTCATCTTTTTTTTTGTAAAAAAATGGAATCAGATTACTTCTTAGCAATTATTCACTCACTTGCAATCTTGAAAAAAAATATCTTGTGACTTTATCTCATCTTACCTTAGTGGAAAAATATGGCATTCCCATTAAAGAAACGAAAAATGCAATCGAAACTCAACTTGTTATTCAATCAAATTTGAAAAAAAATATAAAGAAATGATTATATCTTACGAAATTGATAGCTGAGAATTTTCTTTGGTTGTACTAATAACTTCAAAAAAGCAAATTCCCATCAGCAAAAGAATTAATCCTAATAAAGATTATTTTGATTATTATAATGTACCAACTGGAAAAAAAGAAAGAGATGAAATATATGATGAATGTGCAATATGTAAAATGAAGGAAGAAACCGGAATAACAATTCAAGAATTGTTTTATGTTGGAACAAATGAAAGGTTTAAAGTTTTTCTGGATGGAAAAAAATGCCTATGTCGATGCACCATATATTATACCTATATTGATGAACAGATTCTAATTCGAACTAAACCTAATAAGCATGATGATTAGATTTTTGTAGATCCGAAGGATCTTTCTAAATATAAATTAACTGATACTCTATCTCTCTTTCTTCCATCTATAATTGAAATTATAAACAAAAAATTTAGAAACATCAATTGAAAAAAATATAAACTACTTTCTTCTGAAGAAATTTCTGATAAAGTAAAATCACCAGAACCTGTTGTTTTAAACGGAATCGACAACACATCTCCAATCGACAGTTCTTCTTCTGAAGCATAATTTTTTTAGAATCATTAATTCATTATTTATCAATATATATTTTATTTTTTTTTAATAAATTTATTTAATTTTCTGTTCTGTATATCAACATACCGAACAGTCTTTTATTTGTATAAATGTCTTTTGACTGGCAAAAAAAATTTAAAAACTTTGAAACTACTATTTCTTGGGAAAAGTATAAAAATCTTGATAACCCAAAACAAAAATTAAATGAATATCGTCTTATCAAGATTGATTTTAAACTTTATTTAGAGGTCAAAACATCAAACTCAGATTTGACATTTTTAACTGATATTAATAATTTTAATTTGATTCAAAATTATACATGGTGTTTTGCGAAAGAAAGAAACACATATTATATTATTACACGTATGAAAAATACAAATACATATATAACAAAAAGATTTCATAGAATAATTTATCCAGAATGGAAAATGATAGACCATATCAACCGTAATGGACTTGATAATCGTGAGTGTAATCTTAGAGAAACAACATCGAGAGAAAATACGTTAAATTGTAAATTATTTAAACACAATACGTCTGGGTATAATGGAATTCATTTTTGTAAAACAGGAAAAAGTTGGATTTTTCAATATTATGAAAATAATAAACAAAAAAGGAAACGGTTTCGTGTTACTAAGAAACGTACATACGAACGAGCAAAAAATCAATGTATAGATTTTAAACTAGCTCATGATAAAATGACCAGAAATCTTAACGGTTACGTTGTTTTTTTTTTTTTTTTTTTTTTGTTTGTAAATTGCTTATACGCTGTAAATCTTTATTAGTTAATATGGAACATATTA